TATATAAAGTTTTCTTTGCTTAATAATATATAGAGGCACCATAAGACGTTATAATTCTATATATAAAGTTTTCTTTGCTTAATAATATATAGAGGCACCATAAGACGTTATAATTCTATATATAAAGTTTTCTTTGCTTAATAATATATAGAGGCACCATAAGACGTTATAATTCTATATATAAAGTTTTCTTTGCTTAATAATATATAGAGGCACCATAAGACGTTATAATTCTATATATAAAGTTTTCTTTGCTTAATAATATATAGAGGCACCATAAGACGTTATAATTCTATATATATAACCATAAGACGTTTTCTTATATAAAGTTTTCTTTTGTTAATAATATATAGAGGCACCATAGACGTTATAATTCTATATATAAAGTTTCTTTTAATAATATATAGAGCACCATAAGACGTTATAATTCTATATATAAAGTTTTCTTTGCTTAATAATATATAGAGGCACCATAAGACGTTATAATTCTATATATAAAGTTTTCTTTGATTAATAATATATAGAGGCACCATAAGACGTTATAATTCTATATATAAAGTTTTCTTTGCTTAACAATGCGTAGAGGCACCATAACACGTTATAAAATCCTATATATAAAATTTTCTTTGCTTAACAATACGTAGAGGCGCCATAACACGTTATAAAATCCTATATATAAAGTTTTCTTTGCTTAATAATATGTAGAGGTGCCATAACACGTTATAATTCTATATATAAAGTTTTCTTTGCTTAACAATACGTAGGGGTGCCATAACATGTTATAAAATCCTATATATAAAGTTTTTTTTGCTTAACAATATGTAGAGGCGTCCTAAAATTCCTTTAATTTTTTTTTTTTGGTTTGTTTTAGGGGGTTATTTTTGTTTTTTTTTTAATTAGGAATCATCAATTTAGATGCACGTATCTTCTGGAATTTATTAACAGATTCGTTTTTTACGACTTATGAGCCATTTGCGGAAAATTTAAAAACAGAAAATATTTTTTAGATTGCCACAATTTTTTTCGGAGATAATTATGGTTTAGAGATTAAAGTTTTACTAATTAACCCATAGCTGGGGGAGAAAAGGTGGATTCATACCTTTCCCAAGGGTATTTGCAAGTAAGAGAATATAACGAACCGAATTGGAATTTGTACTCGTCTCTCCGATTAACAATTCTAAGCCATTATCCATTAACACCACCTGCACATACAGGCTTACAGGATCTGGTATTTCCAAGCGGTCACCTACCCAAGTACTGGCCACCCATCTAGGTAATGAGCAGGAATCTAGGTACTGACCAGTCGTTGCTTAACTTCGGTGATCGTACGTAAGGTTGGAATGTATTATCCATTATCTGTAATTGTAACGTATTTAAAAAGCAACGTATTTTCACCATTACAAGGAAACGTTGCGGGCAGAATGTCGTAGGAACGTTATTTTTTTAGATGGGATCTTACCACAATGAAGGGGCAGATAAATACCATCAGTGTAGTATCTGTGCGACAGACAGACAGACAGATAGATAGATAGATAGATAGATAGATAGATAGATAGATAGATAGATAGATAGATACTGAAAAGCCTGGGTTGTATAGAGATGAGTAGACTTACAGATAGATAGATAGATAGATAGATAGATAGATAGATAGATAGATAGATAGATATTGAATTAACAGACTGACAGATAGATATTAACGCACTTATAGATATAAGAAAGAAAGAAAGAAAGAAAGAAAGAAAGAAAGAAAGAAAGAAAGAAAGGAAAAAAGAAAGAAAACAAAAATTGCTCTTTAAAATTAATTTATGTTTACATGGAATCATTTCGGACATTAATTCTTTCAAAAAATTCTTCATGTTGATATTTAAAACAAAAAATGCGCCAAATTAACCCCAACCCGCGAGGCTCCTGACTTCCTGCCCACCCCACATCTGAGCTTGTTACATACGTGGATTATTACCTTAGTAATAATTAGTGTATTAGTACTTTTTCGTACGTACCAGCATATATTTACATGGATGTACGTATGTTGTGGTGAGGAGGTCATGACGAAATATGAACCCCAAATTTGTCACTCGCCCTCAAACAAACATCCACGAAGACGTCTATTTACGCCCCACCCACGAACTGTGGCATAAAAATAGCGCTTGCCTTCTCAACAAATAACAAGGGCGAAGAGTCATTTCCCAAAGGAAGTACTTACTTGTTCCTACTGAAGTGTTTGGGGCACGCCATCACTATACGATGATGAGAACACTTTCTAAAAGGTTCGTATTATTAAAAACGCACAATTTTTTTTTCTATAGTGTAAAGACGGAACTACTTAAATATACTGGTCCGCTCATTTTTTTTTTTTTTTTTACTGTAATATTCAACATGTACAAAGCCCGGGAGCCACTCATGGTAGAGAGTTACGTTAGGAGGCAGTTTACATGGATAGGAGGGGAAGATAATACTAGACTTGAACAGGTTACGATTGTAGCGATCGGGGAAACATCCTCTTAGGGGTCTGTTTCGGAGAGCATTGGTTCGCTGGAAGAAGCTATTCGGGGGGAAATTATTTCTCGCCGAATATACATTACGGTGGAGTAATGGATAGCGGCTCGGACTGAGGAATCGATGAGCCAAGTTCGAATTCCAATCGAATCCATTACATTCACTTATGTGCTAATACCCTTGAAAAATGGATGAATCCTCTTCTTCTCTCCCAGATATGGATAAATAGCAGGACAGACCGGGTTCTATAGCCTTGGATGGCAACTGCAGAAAGAAATGGCAACCTACTGCATGGAAAAAATCTGCCTCGTCAGTCATGTATCGAAAGACACATGATCGCCTAAGCGTGTATCACGACTGATTGGTTATCGAGGTTAACTTATTATCAAACATCGCTCAAAATTTAAGGGTTGTTTTTTTTAGAATTGTAGTATAATACGATCCCCAATTTTTAAGGATGATTTTTGGTATTTAAAAGTCGTTTTATATGCAGAAATATAGTGTAATTATGAGACTATAGATTTGGTTGAACTTAGATATTCAGTCTCTGTGACCGAGTTGTTAAAGTTAACATCCACAGACATGCAAACAGAATATAGGATTCAAGTTCAAGTCTTGATGGAGGTCATTTCTTCATTTCCAATACACTGCTTGCTTTTACACTCATACATTACAAAGTTGAAATAATAAGCAATAACAAAACAAAAAGAAAAATTCAGTCCTGAAATCCATAATGCAAAAAAAAATCTCTCTTCATATCTGAAAAGCTTGAATTTATCTTTCTACTCTAAACTTTATCACATTTAAATGGTTTAAATGCAAAGACAAAAATTTTCAGTTTAGGTCAAACATTTTTCAGATTTTATTTAAGTCAAACATTTCTCGGAGATGATTTTTTTAAGATTTGAAAAAAATAAAATTTATTTTTAGATATGGAATTATTTTCATACCCTGATTTACTCAAACTAGCATTCTCATCTTGGTAATACACATTTCAGTCATACCCTCCAAAGTTTTTTTTTTTCCAGTAGATATAGTTGGTAACCTTTTGAGAATTTCATACAGAACACTTTATTCAATCCACAGGGAAAGATTTTTCTCATTCTGCTGTCCATGTTAGATCAATGGAAGAGACATTACAAAGGAAAATTAGCTGATATTTACAATGAGTTTTTTTTTTCTTTTTTACAGTAAGGTTCACCCTTTTCAAAGCTCAGGGGTCACTTGAGGTAGAGGGTTACATTTAATCATTTTATGCAGATAGGAGGGGAAAATAACGGTTAACTCTAGACTTGAACTGGTTGAAGTTGTAGTAATTTGGGAAACATCTTTTCGGGATTCGGCACCACAGAGAAGCGGTTCATGAACCAGTTTGGTTTTCGTTCTGATAAGAGATGCAACAGTGGCACACACACACACACATATATATATATATATATATATATATACCCTCAAAAGTTATATATATATATATATATATATATATATATATATATATATATATATATATATATATATATATATATATATATTACCCTCAAAAGGTTATATATATATATATATATATATATATATATATATATTACCCCTGACGATCTGAAACCTAGTAGGTTTGCCTGGCTCCTTAGGATTATCTTAGGTTTTGCTCTACTTAGTGTATTGAGCACTTTTACGTAGTTGTCTTTTTACCTGTTTTGGGTTTTTTTTTCTTTGGACTCGGAGCTTGAACACTGGACAATTTTTTTCGCCTCGGTTTAATCTTCTTGGTTCATTCATTTTTTAGTCACGATTTTTCCTCGGGTACCGATTTGTTCTACTGCAATTTGAACTATCTGAGGTTTTTCAAGCGAGTATCACCATTTTTATATATATATATATATATATATATATATATATATATATATATATATATATATATATATATATAGCGAGGTTCACCCTTTACACGGCCCTGAGTCCACTCGAGGTAGAGGGTTATGTTTAAAAGCCATTTGTGTTTTTGGAGTGGAAGACAAGTTTACCCCAGCTTTGACCAGGTTAAGGTTGTAGTGATTGGGGTAACATCTTCTTGGAATCGGTACCACAGAGCAGTGGTTTTCGGGAAGAGGCTGTTCGAGTGGGACTTACTTCTCATCGATGGAATACGGAGGGAATGTGGGTGGGGTTGCTACAATGGGAGTGGCATGGCGCGTCCTTGCCGGGAAGGTTACGACTGACGGAACCTAGAACTGTTGTTCTTCCGAGCACTTTGCATAAAAATAGCAATAGAGCAGCGAATGGCTCGCCTGTGAGAGAGAGATTGGAGGATGGAAAATAATTCGTTACCCACAAGGACGCGGAGACTCTTTTAGACTCTATCGAGGCTGGAGAAGAGAAAACATTAGCGGCGGGGGAGAGAAATAATCTTTATAGATTAACATTCTTCAGATTTGCCTTGGGCTGTGTCACTTGTCAGAATCGAAAAATATTGATTCCTTATCGATTTAGAAAGGGGGTTCTGTTTATAATATCAATACAGTGTGCAATCGATCCCTGACTTCTACAGACTTTTTGATTAAGTCACTTAGCTATTATTCATAAATGCCAAATTTGAAATTGTGCTAGCATCATTGATATCTGCTTAGGGCGACATCACCGTAAGATCACCGAAATTAAGTAACGTCGAACCTGATCACTGCCAAGGTGACCGCTTTGGAATATCCGGTGATGTAAGCTTGGATGGTAATATTAGCCATTTCCTTATAAGGAAACATTTGATATTCATTGACCAAGCAGACAGTTCTACATTTGGTTGAAATTTGTCAAATCTTTCTCTTAAAACAATTTTAAAGAAAATAGATTTCTCTCATCCAGTAGCTATTATTGCTCTTTCTATTATTGATGGGAGTTTCCTTGCTAACCTTTTGTTTCAAGTAGTGTGGAATGTCAACATCTTGATTATGTCATTTTCCCTTCTTCAAATTGGCTTAGGGTCATGTCACGTTGAAACACCGGTTGCTGTATGATCACCGAAGTTAAGAAATGTCAAGCCTGGTTAGTACCTAGGTGGTTGACCGCTTGGGAATACCAGGTACTGTAAGTTTGGATGTGCGGGTGGTGCAATGGATAATGTCTTAGAATTGTTAAGCTGAGAACCGAGTTCCAGTTCCCACTGGGTTTGTTATATTCATTTATGTGCAAATACCCTTGGGAAAGGTATAAATCCACCTTTTCTCCCTCTAGCTATGGGTTAATTAGTAGAACTTATATCACTAAATCAGTATTATCTTCAAACATTCTTACAATCTAAAAATATCTTCTGGCTTTAAATAACTTTCCAGGGGTTGATAAATCGTAGAATCAATCTTTGCTATATATATATATATATATATATATATATATATATTAATTTTCTGAATGTTTTAACCTTTTCTTTTAACTTTAAAAAAAAAATTAACTGTTTTTTGCATGGTATTTTTTCGAAAGCCCATACGAAAACATCTGATAATTATTTAGCTTAAATTAAGTATAAATAGAGACATAGCTTTGTCTTTCGTCTTGTTCCTACCCTACAGACCTGTTGGACCTGCTAAGAGCCGAAGCCCCCGCCCACATAGCTCTGGGAGTAGACATACTCTGGTCCTCCAGGTTGGGGGTTGTGCAATAGGCTAACAACCTACTCACTTAAAAACTAGCTTGTTATAGAAAACTCAACGATATTTTCAAACAACGACATGGCTGAGGAAGAGTCCTTCAAAGTGGAGCATATGACGCTAGCTGGTGAAAATCCCCCGGAGAAGTGAAGACAGCCGGTACTACATGGGCCAAGCTGAAGAGGATCTCACGGAACCGTATCAGTCGAAGAGCTGTTTTTACGGTCCTATGTTCCCCAATGAATCACGAAGCATAAACAAACAAATATTAAATATCGTAGAAAATCTTTTTATATGCAAATGTGCGTACACATACAATTTGAATTAAATAGAAAAGGGCATCTGTGCCATGAGGGCTTATATTTCCTGTTTGGCAACAATCCATGGATACCTGGAAAAAATTATGAGGACAAATTTGTGTCACTTTGAAGTCATTTTTAGGATTCCTTCTGAATTTAAACTGGATATGTTATCTAATAAACATAATAAACATATTGTTAAATTATTTTATGGATATTAGCCAGGCAACAGAAAGTGGATTCATTTCTGAATTTGTTCGTTTATACCTCTTGATTCCAAAAAGCCATTCAGTTACCTGGTGAATTCAGAAAACATTTACCAGGTAACTGAAAGACTTTTTTTGTTCACGTGAGAAAAACAAGAGAGTTTAAATAGAGTTACTTGCGCTGAACCGATGTGAGCCAGCGGGGGGGACGGGTTAATCCATCAAAGCATTAGTTTTTATAATCAGGAGGCCGTAAGTTCAATCTCTATGAAGGGTAACAAAAATATCGCTCACGGGTTGAGTTTAAACATTCCTTTCTCCGCGAAGAACTATCACGAATCAAAATTGGACAGCGAATAAAATATAGATAGGGATGTTCGGGTGGTGCCAATTGGTAGGAAAATGAGCCCAACCAGCACACGAGTGACCTGATATTTTCAAAATTTGAAAGATCCTTGTGGATTTTAATGAAATCCATCCTTCGAACGAAGAAGATACAAAATCACAAACAAAGAACGATATTTGGTAACATAAAGCACATCACGTGAAGACTTTCAACAACAGCAACAACTAAAATGGATGGCACAATTAACTCGAAAAGAAAATAACATAATCAAAATGTTGACGTTCCACACTACTTCAAACAAAAGATTAGGAAAGAAACCCCCATCAATACTGGAAAGAGTGACAAGAGATCCTGGAATTCAGAAATTTATTTTTCTGAAAAAAATATTTAAAGAGAAATATTTATAAAATGTAAACGACAGTAGTACTGATTGTTGGGTGGTCAATAAATGACGTATGTTTCCTTATAAGGAAATGGCTAATATTAAACTTTGCATTACTTTGTAGAAAGTAATGCTAATTTTTAATGTAATTTTAAGCAATGCTACAACAGAAAGTGTATTCATTTTCAACATAAAGTTGAAGCGTAAAGTGTATTCATATTCAACAGAAAGTTTATTGATATGATAGGACGGCTTGTGTGCTTCAACGACCCCCAGAGATATGTGGGCGTGGGCTTTGGCCCCTAGCAGGTCAAACCAAGCTCAATAGGTCTGTGGGGTAGGAGCCGACGAAAGACACATCCTGCTCCTCCAGTTTGGTGTGTGTGGAGTAGGCTAACAACCTACTCACTTAAAAACTAGCTTATTACAGAAAACTCAGTTATTTTCAAACAACGACATGGCCGAGCAAGAGTCCTTCAAATTGGAGTGTATGACGCGTGCCGACGAAAATCCTCCGGGGAAGTGAAGACAGCCAGCAAGACATGGGCCAAGCTGAGGAGGATCGCCCGTAACAAACAAATATTAAATATCGTAGAAAATCTTTTTATATGCATATATATTTGTATCACTTTGAAGTCATTTTTTAGGATTCCTTCTGAATTTAAACTGGATATGTTATGCGTGCTGCAACGAACCCCAGAGATATGGGGGTGGGAGCTTTGTCCCCTAGCAGGTCCAACCAAGCTCAAGCTGTGGGGTCGAAGCCAGACGAAAGACACACCCTGGTCCTCCAGGTTGGGGGTTGTGCAATAGGCTAATAACCTACTCACTTAAAAACTAGCTTGTTACAGAAAACTCAACGATATTTTCAAACAACATGGCCGAGAAAGAGTCCTCCAAAGTGGAGTGTATGATTCGTGCTGGTGAAATCCTCCGGGGAAGTGAAGACAGCCGGCACGACATGGGCCGAGCTAAAGAGAATCGCCCGGAACTGCGTCCGTTCGAGAGGTGTTGTAGCGCACCTATGCACCCCAAGGAATTAAGAGACATAATGAAAATGAATGAGATACATAGCTTTATTAGATTATGCAAATGATTTTTCTTTAATTAAAAAAAAATATATCCGTTTGTTCGTTATTTAAAAAATCTTCTTTTTTTTTTTACCTCACTCTCCAAAAAGTCTGTTAGGGCCGATAACTCTGTAAAAGTTACGAATGGATTTGCCACTTTATCGATATTATAAACAAAAATCCCACTCCTAAATCGATAACTAATTGATGTTTTTATATTCTGACAAGTGTCGTGACCGAACGAATGTCTCAAGAATCCTAGTCTTAAAAAGTTTTTTCCCCACGACATTCTTTTTCTTTTTATATGCCATGTTCTTTCAGGAAGTAGACAATCATGGCTCTCCACCTCCCTCTATCCCTTGCAGCTCTCAACAAGTTCCTTCCCTCTGCTTCCTCCCTCAGACCAAGTTCTGTCGTCCACTTGTTTAAGCCCGCCAAATATGTCACGCGTTGTTTTCCTTTGTCACTCTTTCGCTCTATTCGACCCGTGAGTATCAGATTCTCCAGGCCCTCCTTCCTCATTATGTTTCCCAGAAACTTCAACTGTCTCTTCCTGATATTAAGTATAAGCCTCCTCCTTGTTTGCATCCTCTCTAAGACCTCATCTTTGCTCACACGCTCGGTCCATAATATCCTTAGCATCCTTCTGTAAAACCGCATCTCTGTCGCCTAGAGTCTCTTCTTCATCGTTGAGGAAATCATCCAACATTCACTGCCGTAAAGAAGGACAGATGTCACGTAACAGTTCAGTATTCTTTTCTTTGTTACCAAAGATATCCTCCTGTCCCACAATACTCTGCCCAACTATTGGAATCCTTGGCCATCCCAATACGTCTACGGATCTCAGTGTCGCACTTACCGTCCTCTGTTAAGACGCTTCCCAGGTATTTAAACTTCCGCGTCTGCTTGATTCTAGTGTTCCCAACCTGCAAATCGCATTTCGGGCTCATCCTCTTACTGATGACCATGCATTCTGTCTTCTTGTAGTTTATGCTTAGTCCTTTCTTCACACCCTCCGTTGTTACCTTCTGTAGGAGATTTTGTCATTTCTTTTCCGTGTCTGCTATCAGTACTGTGTCATTAGATTTTTTTTTCTTATAGATCGAATCTTCGGTGATCGATCTTCTGTCCATAATATCAGCGTTTGAATAAAGACGTGCTAGTAGCGTAACCTTTATCCCTACGGAAATTGGAATCGGGTGGATGGGGATGAGTTTAAATTCCGGCTCAGTCTGTTGCGTTTCCTTTCACAATGATTCCCTTGAAAATGTCAAGAACCCATAACTCATCCCCTAGCTATGGGTTAAATAGTAGGATAAATGAGACTCTAGCCTTGTATAGCAGTCAGTCTAGGAGAAGGAAAACTCTGAATTCAAAACCTAGGAGCAGACAACAAAAAATATTCTGCGGGTGGCTCATGATCGCCCACCTCTTGAAGGGAAAAGACATTTTTAGATTTAAATTCGATTGTGTTTGGCTGCTTTTATGAAAATAAGGCCTTTTCTTCAACATCAAAATCGTAAACTATCGATATACATGCTTTGACACGCATATGTTTACACCCACACACGCACGCATGCGCGAGTGCGCGCACACACATACAGAATGGGTTCTGCGCATGGTATATTTTCTAAGAATGGAGTAAATAAATAGACTATACCAGCTTGAGAACTTTGTGCTCACCCTCACACACAGACACACACACACACATATATATATATATATATATATATATATATATATGTCTGGTTAGCAAGGTCGATTTACTGCTTTTAAACTACAAGGTAAATCATGGGAAATTTGTAGTTTAAAAGCAGTAAATCGACCTTGCTAACCTTTACTTCTTTCACACGTTAGGATACACACACACACACACACACACACACACACATATATATATATATATATATATATATACATGTGTGTGTGTGTGTGTGTGTGTGTGTGTGTGTGTGTGTGTGTGTGTGTGTGTGTGTGTGTGTGCAAATACTCTTTTGGAAAGGTATAAATACGTCTTTTCTAACTTCAGCCATGAGTTAATTAATAGAACTTTTATCACTAAATCAGTATTATCATCCCCAAATTCTTACAATCTAAAAATATCTTCTGGCTTTAAATAACCTTCTTCCATCATTGATATCTATATAGATTTTTTAATTTTATGAATGTTTTAACCTTTTCTTTTAAGAATAAAAAAAACAAAAATTAACAAAAAAAAATTTTTTTGCATGATTTTTTCGAAAAGCACACCCATATATATATATATATATATATATATATATATATATATATATAATATATAATAATAATAATAATAATAATAATATATGCTATATTTATGAGTTAAAGTGCTCGATATCAGGGATAGAGCGTACAGTGAAGTGAAGAACACTCAGAGTCTGTTCTCTACCTAAACACAATTTAAAAGCATGAAACAAACTGTCGCTGCTGGATGTTGAGATCAGTATACATGTATATATATATATGTATATATATATATATATAGAGAGAGAGAGAGAGAGAGGCGGGGTAGAGGTTTATTTCTTGTTTCCTGTTTTAGGTTGTTTTCGATTCATTCTGTATACTTCTAAAGTTTCCACCTGAACTCTGAAATTTTATCTACTATTCCCCACCCAGCCTCAATAGGAGTTAGATTGGATCGCCCGGTTCCCACACCTCTTCAGTCTTTCGACATGAGTAGAGTTTTATCCCTTGTTTCCGGTTTAGTATTGAATTTCCGATTATTTCTAAATTCTTCTCATTCTCTTTCACTCACAGTAGCCACTTGCGTCTTAGTGATATTATCGCCTTACTTGAAAGGAATTGATTCAATATATATATATATATATATATGTGTGTGTGTGTGTGTGTGTGTGTGTATTTGTGTGTGTATGAATAATATAATTTCTACATATGTTATACAAGCGGGTACTACTTGGAAAGCACTCAATATCAGTGATAGAGCTAACATTCACTCGTATGGGTATGAGTTTGTAACGCTGTCTGATGATCGCAAATGCGTGAAAACACACGGTTACAAACTAATATCCATACGACATAATATATATATATATATATATATATATATATATATATATATATATATATAGAAAAACACAGTTTTAAGGTGTGCTATATTTATGGGATAAAGTGCTCAATATCAGAGATAGAGCGTATGTAAATATAAATATAAAAGTGAACATTGAAGTCAACAGTCAGAGGCGACAGGCTGTTTCATGCTCGACGCAATCATCTTCTATGTGTGCGAGTGGAATATTCAGCTAGCATACGGGATAGATAGATAGATAGATAGATAGATAGATAGATAGATAGATAGATAGATAGATAGATATTCAAGTAACATTTAGTTTCTCTCTCCTTAGGGAAAGAAAAACCAACAAATAAGTAATTTGCCGCAAATAAAACCCTTCTCATTTATAACTGGTCGGTATGCCGAAATGCCGGATGTGATGATACCACAAAATGAATGATGAAAAAAAAAGCTATTTCTTCCCTTCTCGCCCGTCGACTTTAACAAAAGGGATGCTATAAAGTCACAGAATGGTTTCTCTGTTCCAAACATACTCTTCTTTTGCAACAGAGATTTTCACATATGTAGACGAAAACATCTATCGGCCTACATTGCCTTAGATTAATACGTCTGAACATGTAACGCAGACAAAATAATTTATCTCTATATGACGCTATGCATCTATGTCTATGTATCTTATTCTATCGACACTATTCTTATCTATCTATCTATCTATCTATCTATCTATCTATCTATCTGTCCCTTCATATCTAAGTCATTTAATATCTATCTTTTATCTATCTATCTATCTAAATCTCTTCTTTATCTATCCATCTATCTATCTATCTATCTATCTATCTATCTATCACATTAGATGCTAATATTACTACATTGAAACACTACGGGATACGTTAGCGTCAAACACAAAAACAATTATAAATGAATGATAACAATTCTATTACAATTTCTTAAAATGTCATTTCTATAACAGTGCAGGGCATGTTAAAATAAATCTGACTTGGTTGGCCAATGTCGAAACTAATGCTGGGTCTTGAGTACGAACAATCCCCGGGAGATAGATAGATAGATAGATAGATAGATAGATAGATAGATAGATAGATAGATAGATAGATATGAACAGAATGAAAGATATGAAGAGACTGAGATAGATAGATATGAACAGAATGAAAGATATGAAGAGACTGAGATAGATAGATAGATAGATAGATAGATAGATAGATAGATAGATAGATAGATAGATATGAAAAGACTGAGATACTCAGGCAGGCAGACAGTAGAATAGATAGATAGATAGATAGATAGATAGATGATAGATAGATAGATAGATAGATAGATAGATAGATAGATAGATAGATAGAAAAAAGACTGAGATACCCAGGCAGGCAGACAGAAGAATAGATAGATAGATAGATAGATAGATAGATAGATAGATAGATAGATAGATAGATAGATAGATAGATATGAAAAGACTGAGATACTCAGGCAGGCAGACAGAAGAATAGATAGATAGATAGATAGATAGATAGATAGATAGATAGATAGATATGAAAAGACTGAGATACTCAGGCAGGCAGACAGAAGAATAGATAGATAGATAGATAGATAGATAGATAGATAGATAGATAGATAGATAGATAGATAGATATGAAAAGACTGAGATACTCAGGCAGGCAGACAGAAGAATAGATAGATAGATAGATAGATAGATAGATAGATATGAAAAGACTGAGACAGGCAGGCAGACAGAAGGATAGATAGATAGATAGATAGATAGATAGATAGATAGATAGATAGATAGATATTAACACGCACTAGATTTTAACAAATGAAACGATTTTTTTATTAAATTCACTTACATGAATAATCTTAATTATCACTTTTTGTTTACCACAAATTTTTCTTTATTTTCCACCTCAACTGCTTATGTGATTCTTCAGATGGAGTATTTTCCCTATTATTATTATTTTTATTATTATCATTATTTATTGTTGCTGTTGTTGTTGTCTTTTGCCCATGCTTTGTGTCTTACGCGTAGCCCACAACTCTCTACCAGAGGCTTCAAGCGATAGGTTTTTTGGGGTTTTTTTTTGTATCAGAATATGCTAAGGGAGGAGATACCATGTAAAATCTAATGGTAATTGCATGAAGAGGACTTTTTCTTTTACAATCATGTTCACCTTGTACAAGGCCAAAGCGCCACTCGAAGTAGAGTGTTACAGAGTAAGAGGTAAGAGGTACAGTTTATGAGGATATGTGGGAAAGATAACGGTTAACCTCAGACTTGTACATGTTAAGATTGTGGTGATCGGGGAAGCATTCTCTTGGGAGTCGGTTCCACAAAGCAGCGGTTCGTGGGAAGAAGCTGTTCGAGTGGAACATACGTCTGTTCGAATGAAAGGGAATGAAGGTGGTCCGCTGCAATGTGCGTGGCATGGTGTGTCTTAGCTGTAAAGTTTAGAACTGATGGAACCAAAGAATGTATGTTGTCTGAAGATAGAGAGGCTTGCAATATTTCAATTTTGGGAAGGAGGCTGTAAGTTGGGAAACAGTTCCTCACCTACAAGACTACATAGACGATTTCGAACTCTATCGAGACTTCAAAGTGTAGACTGGACAGTTCCTGCGCATATATGGCAACAGTACTCCATTACGCAATATGTGAGAAGTACCCATGAATAGGACATTTTTTGTAATTATTTTATTATTATATTTCCTTTGATTTCTGGTGTGTACATATTTCTTTCCGTGTCCCACCCAGAGAGCTAAGGTCAGAAATGGCATCATGACATTTTCCACTGACCAATTTAAAAAAAAACATATATTTTACATAGATAAAGCCCTTCGTAAAGTGTGGGCAGTACTTGTGAAAACAATTTTTTGGTATTTCTTTAAGGCATAGGCTTCCAGGAATCCCTTCAATGAGTCTACTGGAATCTTTACCAACCAATCCTAGGGTTCCAACTACAACGGTGATTGTTGATGTTCCCATGTGTCATATTTTTGAGATTTCGATTTCAAGGTCCTTGTATTTTGATAGCTTTTTGAAGATCTTCAAAGATACATTGTAGTCCGCAGGGACTGCCATATCAATAAGGAGGCTTTTTATTTTCTTGCTTGTGGTCTCTAATAACAATATCTGGACGATTAGCTTTAATTGTTCTGTCTATGTGTATTGTGTAGTCCCATAAAATCATTACAATTCCTATCTCCGTAACCGGGTCTGGGTGGTGTTCATACCAATTTCTTTCAGTTTCCTTCCCGTAGAAGTTGCAGATTTTCCAGTCCAAATATTGGTCAACATTCTCATGCCGGATTTTTATTCTCAGTGGGTGCCAATACCGTGCAAACTGATACAAGATGATCCGTTGTTTCTGGATATTTATCACAGAATCTGGATTTTGAGCGAACACAACATTTTAGTATGTGTGCTTGATAATTTCTATCTAACAAGCATTGGTCCTGTGCAGCAAGGATAAAACCTTCGGTTTCATCTTTTAACCCTGCACTACTTAGACACTGATGGGCACGGGGTTTGTCTACGTCAGCTTGTTTGCTAGGAGCACAATATTGATCGTGAATTGGTTTATCTTGTCATCGTTTCTGTATCTGGTTTATTATTATTATTATTATTTTTATTTCCTTTGATATCTGGCGTTTCCACATTTCTTTCCGGGTCCCGCCCAGGGACCTAAGGTTAGAAATGTTATCATGACACTTTCCACTGTAAAAAAAAAAAAAATTACTTAGATAAAGCCCTTTGTAATGTATGAGCAGTACTTGTGAGAAGAATTTTTTGATATTTCTTTGAGGCATAGGCTTCCAGGAATCCCTTCAATGAGTCTACTGGAATCTTTTCCAACAATTCCTAGGGCTCCAACTACAATGGGGATTGTTGATGTTCCCATGTGCCATATTTTTTAGATTTCGATTTCAAGGTCCTTGTATTTTGACAGCTTTTTGAAGATCTTCCAAGATATATTACAGTCTCAAGCCGATAGACGTAATTTAACGGTAAAAAACAAAAACAAAAAAAACATAGCGTCTACTCAAATATATGTATCCACAGAACTTTGAGAGGGGAATTAACAGGAAATAACTGACATCCATTAGACATGGCACGTGGAACTAGAACAGGCTACCCCAGTGAGCGAAATAAAGGGTTCAGTTCGACATTCCAACCACCTGAAGAAGGCCGGAATGTACAACGGCCGAAACGTTGTGATAAATATGGCGACAAAAATGAGGACAATAGTCCGAATAATGTAAATAGTGAGCTTTTTTCGCTTTCGGCCAAAAAGCTTCTCGAGTTTGAGCTGAAGGGATTTTTATAATATACCTCTGCCCTCACCTCTTCCGCCAATCCAAATGGAAGGCTACTAAAGCGGAGTAGAATGGGGTGTTCGCGCCTTAGGACTCCCCGGTCGTCATCGCCGCTCCACTCGCGTACGTCTATTCCTCATTATTTCCGACAATATACGCATTGTTTACGCAAATTCCGATGTTAAGTGCTACTTAACATATACAGTGTTAAGTATTTCCTACTACACTAAACGTTATTATTGCGGATACCCATGGTTGAGTAGACGCCCTGTTTTTCAAACAGTCTAAATTACGTCAAAATCTTAATAATGATAGATAATATAAGAAATTGAACATAGAATAGGCGGCGCTCGAGGTAATTTCGCCCATGACCACAAATTGCTCAAAAAAAAAAATAAGCTGAAAATACGAGTCATGTTTTTAAATAGTCTTGGGAAATCGGGACTTTTATATGGATGTCATGCATGTCGACATTCAGAAATATCTAAACATTAATCTGTATACAACCGCTTTCTAGAATAAATCGTTAAAATGGCTTTGAACCCTACTTCTTCGAATTTCGTGGACTGGCGCTACAGAATCACAAAGAAACGTGCTAGATAACAGAAATTTCATCAATTGAGGACTTTCAACAGTAGCATCAAATAAAACGAATAACACATGTATCTCGAATAGAAAATAATAACATAATCTTAAGTTGTTGACGTTTCATACGACTTCAAACAAAAGGTTAGGTAGGATGCTCCCATGCATACTAGAAAAAAACGATAACAAATTCAGAATTTGATAAATCTATTTTCTTGAAAAATTGTTTTAAGATAAAGATGTTATAAATTTTAGTACCGGCTGCTCGGTCAATGAATGACCTAATATGCAACAAAATGATTCGAGAGTCCTCATAATTGTTGGATATATTAATCACTCGTCTCTAATTAATAATGTTTAACAATACACTAAGAGATATTTGAAAGTCCTCATAATGTTGGATATATTCTTAAATTCGTAATGTTTAGTAACTATATAAAGAAGAGATTTGAAAGTCCTCATAATGTTGGGTATATTC